CACTGTGACGAAACTTTCTCGCTAAAGCGGCAACAGCCCGCGAATCTCGTTAACGTCGCGAAACCTAATTAACAACTTTCAAAAATGCTTTGACGTCCCATCGATTCCCCTCTGTCTCTCTCTCTCTCTCTCTCTCTCTCTGTCTTTGTTCTCTCTCTTTTTTTTTTTCGTTCATCCACGTTTGAAAAATTGGTAGGTTTCGCTCGGACGAGAGCGGATAGATCGACCGTCAATCGACGAAGAATTGCGATTCGAGAATCGAATCGAGCGGAAAAAGAAGAAAAGAAAAGAAAAGAAAAGGAAAAAAAAGGACTCACCCTTTCCTCCTCGCGAATCATCTCGGCGATGCCAGGCTTGATCTCGAGATCGTCCCCGGGGTTCGGCGGTTGACCGGCCTGCTGATGGTGTTGCTGCTGCTGCTGTTGCTGTTGCTGCTGTTGCTGTTGCTGCTGAACGGAGAGCTGCTGGCCGTGAGCGGTCAGGTGGTTGACGGAGGCGTGGGGACCGGAAGTCACGTGGCCGGGCACGTGGTGAGCGGATATCGAGTGCGAGGTCTGCTGGCCGGGCTGAGGGGGCGGCGGCGGCGGCGGCGGCGGCAAGGGCAGCGATACCGGAAGTTCCTGGAGGTTGATCTGCGGCGTGACGGAGACGACGCCGCCGCCGGGCGTGCCGGGGGATCCGAGGGACCGCGGGGTCGAGCTGCTCGGCAGCATGCTGTGAATGTCCGGCATGATCACGCCGGCCCCGCCGCCGCCGCCTTGACTCGGGTCATGATCGTCCGGGGGCATGCTGCTGCCGGAACCGATCCGGTCCGGGCTGCATGTCGTCGTCGGCGGCGGCGATCTCTCGCCCGATATTCGACGCCGCTTCTTCCTGTGCATGGCTGCGGCGGCGGCGGCCGCCGCCGCCGCTGCCGCTGCGTTTGCCGCCTCCTCCAAACTGGAGGATCTCGAGGTGAGCTCGTGCTCGTTGTTCACGTCCGCCAGGCCGCGAATCTTCAGGCTCTCGGCCACCTTGAGCAACGGGCCGATCTGCTCCTGCGACACGTTGATCTCCCCCTTGTACATGAACTCGACCGCGGCCTTCAACTCGGGCCACTTGATGTCCTTCATGATGACGATCGGATGCTGGCAAGGATTGTCGAAGAAGAGCGCCTGGAAGTACGGGCTGCACGCCGACAGCACCATTTTGTGCGCTTTCACGCTGTGGCCGTCGCAGGCCAACGTCACGTCGACGAAGCTCTCGCTCTGGAGCAGCTGGTCGAACACGTTGGTCAAATTTGTCTGGTAGTTGTTCCACCTCAGGCAGAACTGCTGGGGCGACCCAGCGCCGCTTTGCTGCGTCATGTTTTCCTCCACGGCGTCGTCGTCGTCGTC